TCGTTTAATAAGCAAAACCGAGTATCGTCGTTCTGCAAAACACCGTAACTGATATTTGCACCAAAAATTAAATTTGCTCACCGGAAGCTCCTGCTCGATATTTACAGATTAAAGGAGGTATAGAGAGAACCGTCTTGAAATAAGAGAGTTTTTACTCTCTCCTTTAAAATTTGAACCACCTCACATATGAGGTTTTGCATTTGCTTGATACGCGGTTTCATACTTTAAACGACGATATGTATTTTCATCAACATTTTTGAAACTTAGGTNAGAACCGTCTTGAAATAAGAGAGTTTTTACTCTCTCCTTTAAAATTTGAACCTCACATATGAGGTTTTGCATTTGCTTGATACGCGGTTTCATACTTTAAACGACGATATGTATTTTCATCAACATTTTTGAACCTTAGGCTACTTCTTATTTCTTTGAATATTAAGGAATTTCAATATTTTCTCCCAGAAAGTCTTTACCCTCTATGAGTTTGGCCTTCCAGAGTTTCCCCGAACCGCAGCGTTTAAAATAAAAAGAGGGATTTTTTTATCCATTTCAGCGATTCCAGCAGAGTGAATGGGGAGTGAAATCCTTTCAAATTGCATATTCATTAACAATTTTTTGTTTTGATTTCCAACATGCAGGCACACAAAATTTAATTTATTAATCACTCAAAACCGTCAAGGGAAAACCTCTGAAATTGATAACAATTTTTTTCTTTGCGTGTGTTGCACCTTAACCTAACTTTTTCATAGCAAATTGTGACTAATATAATTTCCCCTACTATAAAATGTTAAATAAATTCAAAGAACAATGCAAAGAATCAACATTCATGTTGCAATAAGAAAGCATCATGTTGTGCAAAAGAAGAAATGAAAATTTAAGCGAAACACGAAATTCCAGTGAATAATTCAATATTATATAGTAGTGACTGTGTTAATTGGATGAACTAAACACCAACGAAAGTTTAACTAAAAAATACCATACAATGCAATTTTTTATAACCTTTACCACTAGTACTAAAGTGATTTTTATACTAAAACGAATGGTTTTTGTTAGAATGACTTCTGTTTTTATATATTACTAAATTCTCTTTTCTGTTTCGAAATTTGCTATGTGTGCGTAGTAAAATTAATTTAATTTGCTTTCTATAAATAAAATTAAACACCTGCATGCGCTTTCAATATAAATTATTTTAAACTTAAGTTATTTTATGTTGCGTCTATAAAAATTCTTTATTTATTTATAAACTAAAGTGCATAAAAAATTATTTCAAAAATTCACAATTTGAGATATCAAAAGCTTTTTAGATATTTTTTTTTGTTACACAATTTGATTTATCTAAAAAAATTAATTCTTACATGAAAACATTAATTTTTTGGAATATATTTTCTTAATTTCTTGTATATTCTTAAATTTTCATTCACAGTGAAATATTTTTGTTTGCTAACTCTTCATGATTCTCAAGTAAAAAAGAAAAAAAAATATAAATTTTCAGTTTAGAATAAGGAACTTAATTTTTTAATAAGGAATTAGTTATCGGTTAAAAAATATACTACATAAATATTTGGTTGCATAAAAAACTTTTCTAGTAGCGTTAAAGTATAAACAGAACCAAATCGCTGTGCGAATTTCGTCGGTCGAAGCGATGCCGCCGGGTGATATTCGCAGCAACATTTCCCCAGTAAAATAGAGCAGAAACGAAATTCGCATCAAATGGATGAAAAACAAAAAATATAAAAATACAAAATCGAAGAGATGAATCACCAAATTTTGCCATTCTGATTTTTGCTAATAATTATCTGCTAGAAAAATGGGGAAACAAAGCTACTTTTCCACTGAGAGCTGATTTTGTGACCGGCGGCAGCGGCAAAATTAAAAATAAATCTATTCTTGCAGAATTTCGTCAGACGAACTTGGTCGTGGCTTTGGTTGTAGGCAATCCCATATACTGCAGTTTGCTTTAATTTTGGCAGCAAACTTTCTTTCGACGAATTTCTCTGAGCGATTTGATTTTGTTTATACTTTTAGAGCTAAGAATTATTTTATAAAAAAGTCGGTTTCTAATTTTTGAACTAAAACTTTTTCAAATAAAAAATCGTGCTTTGGTTGGAAATTACTAATTTACTAATTTGTGTACCACTACTCCGTAGAAAAAGTTTGGGAAAAGTTCTTTCTAACAGCGTTCGTATTTCTGCCTTGTAAAAACTTCTCATAAAATCATTTGCCGTTTGGAAGCAGTGTAGGATTGAAGGTTGCTCCATTAACGTCAGGACGTATGGATGATAAGCTCGGCCAAATACTTACGCGCGAAATATATTTTTTTTATAAAATATATTTCTTGGATCGAACTGAATAAAAATATCCAATATTTTGAAAAAAAAGTTTTAATCGATTAACGATTTTTTCTAATTAAATATTTTCAAATAAAACTTACAAAGTTCGGTTAAAACTTTAATTTTGTACTCGTATAAACAAATTACTACTGCACACAAAAATTTAATCCGATTCAAATTGTCTGTAAAAAATTTCAAATTAAAATATAATTTTTTTTTAAATGGTGAATTTTGACTTTAATTGGTAAACATATGTACATACATTTTTAATTGGCTAGAATAATAATAATTATTTTTTTTTAAATGGTATTATTTCATGCTAAAAAAATTTTTAAATTTTTAGTCACTTAGTTTTTAATTTTTCTTTTACCGTATTGAACTTTCTATTTGGAGTCGGCTTTAATTTTAGAAGAACTAATTTGCATCCCAAAATTTATTAACATGCTCGACTTTTTTTGCGCTGAACGGGGCTGTTTCAAATAGTATTCCAATAATTTTATATTTTACCGGTATTCTAAATAATTTTTTTTTGTATTTTTCAACTTCAGTTACATGAATTGAATAGATAGAATAAAAATTAAACTAAATAAATGTAATTTAGTGTCTGCGAACTAACACAACAATGAAAATTATAAAGAAAACTAAAATATTCGAAGCTATCGAAATGGGTTAAAAGCATACTTATTGCGAAATTTCATTCTCTTTTTATTTTTAATTGTCGCGCGCACGCAGATAAAAAGCCATCTGGCAAATCTAAAGATGAGCAAATGGCGGAAAAGAAACAAGAATTGGAGAAGCGCTTACAGGATGTCACCGGTCAATTGGGTAGCAGCAAGAAGACAGCCAAAAAAGGTAATGTGGGAGTGCATAATAATTTCCAAGACAAGCTTAATTTCTTAAAAAAAAAATAATAATAACAAAATAAAGTAATAAATCGAAATTAAAGTAAAAAATGAAGTAAATTAAAAAATATTAAAAAGTAAAATAAAAATTAAAAAATATGTAATAAAATATTTATAGTAAATAATAATAAACAAGATAATAAAAAAATAAAAAAAAATAAAAAAATATAAAAAAATAGTAAAAAAATAATAAAAAAATAATAAAAAAATACTAAAAAAATATAAAAAAATAAAAAATTATAAAAAAATAATAATAAAATTAATAAGTAACAAAATAAAAAAACAAATAAGATAATAAAAAATGAATAAGAAAAATTCAATAATTTTTATTGAGCTCGAGGCCGTTTTCAATGAAAAACTATTGTGGAAAAGCAACAACAATTTGAAAAAATGGGCGAAGTGATAGCTATTTCGGAAATCAGGAAATGTGGTGATTTTCGAAATAGCTATCACTTCTACCATTTTTTTAAATTGTTGTTGCTTTTCCACGATAGTTTTTCATTGAAAACAGCCTCAAGCTCAATAAAAATTGTTGAATATAATTGTTATAAGGCCATAAATAACAAAAACAAATTAATAAGAAAGTAAAAAATAAAATAAAATAAAAAAGTTAAGTATAAATAATGCAAATAAAATATCAGATATAAAATAAAATATAAATTAAAATAAAATAAAACAAGCAAAAAAAAAAATAAAAATAAAAATAAAAACCAAAAAAGTAATGGCTTTATTCATAAAAAATAAAGTAGGTTTAAAGAGCTTTACAAAGTGACGTTTTCATACATTTTTCAGTTTATAAACCTTTTTTAAAGCTACTTTATTTTTTATGAATAAGGCCATAAATATAAAAACAAAAAAATATTTCGAATTTTGTATTTATTAGGTACGATTTTTAGAGAATACCAAGGCATATTTAACAGGTGGTAACAGTAGATCAGTTGGTTTGATTTTATTTTTTCAAAATTATTTGGTCCCTAAACGGCCAAATATTGTTAAATTCGTTGAATAAATTCTAAATTTGCAAAATGTATTTGCATGTGAATCTTCGAAAAAAAAGCGATTATAAACCAGCCTTTGGAACGTTTGCTTAACTAAAGGATGATTGTTGGCCCTGCAAAGAATGTATTTATGCTTCTGGAATGAAAAAAATTTACAAAGAAATGCGCAACAAATTATATTTTTTGAATTAAAATTTTTGTATATTCAGTGAACCAAAATAAAGTTGTTCATTTAAGGTACTCATCTTCAAAGTTGAATATCTCCGCCGTTAGTTAAGCTAACTGAAAATAATTAAAACAAAGACACTTCTGTGTTTTATGCCATGAAAAACGGCTTGTCATGAAAATACAATCGCCGTTCGGAGTCGGCGTAAAACTGTAGGTCGTTCCTCTTTGTGTCACAACATCACATACTAACATATCGTCGCCTGGGCAAAAGATTGTCGTATGTTAATTTCGGCAGGTTGTAGGAAATCGCGATTGAAGTTTGGAATGCAAGTTCTCAAAAACGCGAGGATAGAATTTCTCCAAAGTCTCTGAAAATGTTACTAGTTCGGTAAATTCTTAAATCATTTAATTTTTGATGTTTATTGTTAATTAGTTTTGATTTTATGAAGGATTCTATTTAATAAAATTTTGTCGAAAGCGTCATTTGTCCACAATTGGGAATCCTGAAGTGCTTTTTTAAGGTAACTCTTGTTCCTGATTTGACGCTCGCATAATTTTGATTCCATGTAAACCCAGTACTGTTGAGTACATAGTAACAAAATACAATGAGCAGCCTGTTTTTTTTTCAAAGTTTTCTTTTATTTTCGAAGAGACCTCGAACCCACATAGATATTCCAAGGGCGAAGCCCTGGAGACCTCGCTTCAAGAAATTGTATCGACGATTGAAAAAGCATTGGCATGCAAGATGAATTAATCCGTATTTATTCTCCGATAGGTGGTACATTTGGAAAATTTTGACCAATTTTTCTCTTATATATTTAATTGTATTTCATAATAACTAGTAACAGTTTGTTTAAATTTGTTTTAATTACTTGTTATAAAAAGGTTTCATGTGCATATAGACATACGTTTTGGCGATTTGGAAATTTTGTAAAAAATTTATATACAACATGGGGAGAGTCGTGTCGAATGCAAGTCGGTTTTCGAGAGTCGAATCGTATCGAAAATTTCACGTCATTGCCCAGTAGATAATTTCAGGAGTTAAAAGCCCTTCTGAAAGGCCTTCCACTCTACATTCCTTTCTTCTTTCTTTTTTGTATGCAGTGGCACAAATTGAAGGGCTTCCTCTTTCGCTATCCATAGAAGGCCTTCCAGAAGGACGTACTTCAGAAGGCCTTTTGGAGGAGTTCTTTAAAGTTGCTGCTTTAATTTATAAAAATCATACATCTTTGAAGTATTTGCTTAAGGTTGTTTATATCAAATATGTGTTATTGTAACTTACAATTTTTATTGGAATTCATTTGTAATGTTAAATAATATAAATTTATGCATTCGCGTAAATTGTAAATGGATAAGTCCTTTTAGAAGGCATGCAAGGAAGTACTTTTTCAGCCCTTCTTGGGTAGGCCTCTTAGGATGGCTTCACTTAAGAAGGCCTACCTAAATTATCTTCTGGGTAGTGCCTAAAATTTCCACTCGACTAGTGTATTAAAACGGAAAATCTTGGCAGCACCGTATAGTTTTCGACGATTTTCGTCGTTTACTTATTTATTTCAGCACGACAGTATAANATTTGTAATGTTAAATAATATAAATTTATGCATTCGCGTAAATTGTAAATGGATAAGTCCTTTTAGAAGGCATGCAAGGAAGTACTTTTTCAGCCCTTCTTGGGTAGGCCTCTTAGGATGGCTTCACTTAAGAAGGCCTACCTAAATTATCTTCTGGGTAGTGCCTAAAATTTCCACTCCACTAGTGTATTAAAACGGAAAATCTTGGCAGCACCGTATAGTTTTCGACGATTTTCGTCGTTTACTTATTTATTTCAGCACGACAGTATAAAATGCCAATGTTGTCGAGTCGTACAATTTAGCCTAATTTGCGACTTACGCAATGAGGCTGAATATTTGTTAACTTATAGACCAAATAATTTGAAAACAAAAATCAAATTCTCTGTTCTAATCCTGCTACTACCTGTTGCATATGCCTTGGTATTCCCTAAATNTTTTGGAGGAGTTCTTTAAAGTTGCTGCTTTAATTTATAAAAATCATACATCTTTGAAGTATTTGCTTAAGGTTGTTTATATCAAATATGTGTTATTGTAACTTACAATTTTTATTGGAATTCATTTGTAATGTTAAATAATATAAATTTATGCATTCGCGTAAATTGTAAATGGATAAGTCCTTTTAGAAGGCATGCAAGGAAGTACTTTTTCAGCCCTTCGTGGGTAGGCCTCTTAGGATGGCTTCACATTATCTAAAATCTAAAATCTAAATCTAAATTATCTTCTGGGTGGTGCCTAAAATTTCCACTCGACTAGTGTATTAAAACGGAAAATCTTGGCAGCACCGTATAGTTTTCGACGATTTTCGTCGTTTACTTATTTATTTCAGCACGACAGTATAAAATGCCAATGTTGTCGAGTCGTACAATTTAGCCTAATTTGCGACTTACGCAATGAGGCTGAATATTTGTTAACTTATAGACCAAATAATTTGAAAACAAAAATCAAATTCTCTGTTCTAATCCTGCTACTACCTGTTGCATATGCCTTGGTATTCCCTAAATATCCAATAATAAAATTCCCAACATTTTCCTAAAAAATATTTACTTAATATTTCTTTGTGCTTTTATTCTTTCTTAACAGACGAATCATCATCGAATAAAGTGGAAGCAGTGCCGCCCACGAATCGCCTCTCATCCAGTTCTAGTTCCAGCGATTCATCATCGTCTAGTTCAAGCGATAGCAGTTCCAGCGATTCGAGTGATAGCGAAGCAGGTTAGGACGCGTTTTATTAAATTTCAAACATTTTCTTATAGTAATTACATAGATAAAAAAAAAAATTTAGAACAAAAAATATATTGAAATTGCGGCAAATGTCATGCACATATTCTACTTGCTGGTTTTTGCACATGGCGCAATAAACAGGTGAAGTGATAAAACAGCTTTCTCGCTTTATTTTCTGACATTCGGCTGCCTTATAGTCAAATTTTATAGGCGAATTTTCAAAGAAGGCAGCGTCAAAATCTTTCCTCTCACTCTAATTACTTCACCTGGTATAATTCCACCATGGTTTTTGCATAATTTTCTTGGCAATCAAATTGACGAATCAACCACTTTTCAAATNTCACTCTAATTACTTCACCTGGTATAATTCCACCATGGTTTTTGCATAATCTTGGCAATCAAATTGACGAATCAACCACTTTTCAAACNTTACTTAATATTTCTTTGTGCTTTTATTCTTTCTTAACAGACGAATCATCATCGAATAAAGTGGAAGCAGTGCCGCCCACGAATCGCCTCTCATCCAGTTCTAGTTCCAGCGATTCATCATCGTCTAGTTCAAGCGATAGCAGTTCCAGCGATTCGAGTGATAGCGAAGCAGGTTAGGACGCGTTTTATTAAATTTCAAACATTTTCTTATAGTAATTACATAGATAAAAAAAAAAATTTAGAACAAAAAATATATTGAAATTGCGGCAAATGTCATGCACATATTCTACTTGCTGGTTTTTGCACATGGCGCAATAAACAGGTGAAGTGATAAAACAGCTTTCTCGCTTTATTTTCTGACATTCGGCTGCCTTATAGTCAAATTTTATAGGCGAATTTTCAAAGAAGGCAGTGTCAAAATCTTTCCTCTCACTCTAATTACTTCACCTGGTATAATTCCACCATGGTTTTTGCATAATTTTCTTGGCAATCAAATTGACGAATCAACCACTTTTCAAATGTTTTTTTGTTCAGGCAATGTAGTATACTGTTTTGAGGTTAAAAATATATTTCTAACTTTTTCAAAGCCAATTTGGTGTTGGTCAAATTTTTGCGTGAAGCGTAAAAATTTCTGCAAACCATTGCATACTTTTAACCATCTCATTCAATGCATATCGTTTTAACTCAAGAATTGGCCTGGTATTCATTCAATGGCAATTTCTCAATATTGCTATCAATGGAGTTATGTTAGCGGAATTTTAATAGGGAATGCTTTTTACTTCTTCAATAATTTTCACTGGAGATCGAAAATTGTGCTCCGACTCGTTTTTGAAATGATCAGCACTTATGACTTTAAAATTGAAAGAACAATATGTGTATGTGTACGTTTGGTTTTTTTCTAAACTTTTAAATTTTCTTGTTTATGTACTTTTTAATTTTATTTTTTAATTAAAGTTTATTTTTTCAATTTCTTTTAAATTTAAAAAATATTAAATTAACACGGATTTTGTATTTTTACTTTCTAATATTTAAAGTTTTTAAAATATCTTTTTCCTAATTTTAGTTTTTGTTTTGTTAAAAGTTTGGAAGTTTGTTCTTAATTAAAAATATATGTATTTTAATTTTTTTAAGTAAAAAAGTGATTGGTTCAGGAGATGAATGCCAAAAGTTACCGGATTTCGATATTCAAGTATATTTTTACCTCAGTAAAAATATTGCAGTTTGCAATAAAAAAAAGCAATATAAAATTTTTTTAATGACTTTATTTCCTTTAATATGTTTAATTTGTTTTTGTTTTTAAACACAATTTTCTACAAAAAATTTCCTAGAGCTTTTTAGATTTTGTTCGTTGTGCGTTTAATGCATTTAATCTAATTTCCTTACCGTCAATTTCGTATCATAGATATTTTTTGTGACATAAATTTTATTTTTTTGCCTTGTGCCATTTTCGGCCATTCAATATAACGACATATTGCCATCCATTTTTTAGATTCATCAACTTTTCACTATAATCAAATTTTCTCTTAAAAGACTCAAATACATAGATTTGGGTTTAACTTATACCTAAACATAGGTAGATAGTAAAGTGATTTTATTATTTATTAAGTATAGAAATTGGAATTGAAATTTCAAAAGTAGGAGAGAAAGTCAAAAAAATGTTCAGAGACAGCATCATTCACAAGTAGAATATGTTGTATACATATTTGCCTGAATTTGACATAAAAATATAAAATTGACATATTTTTTACTATAAAAAATGATTTATAATATAAACTTACTATAATTAATTTTTGCTAACAATCTATTTCCTATTAACCCCATATGCAAGTAGTTAATGCAATTTAAATTATTCAACCCATGGGTATAAAACAAGTCCATTTTTTATATTTATTGAAAAAAATAGTTTAACATTTTAAACTAAAAGAAAAAAGAAAAAACAAATATGCGAGTGAAAAAATCGTGAAGCAATTGTGTATTGGGGGCAGCCAATCAAAGAGCGAGAGAGCGAGTTCGAGAGAGAGAGTGAGGAAAGAGAGCGAGCGTAAGCATTACAATTTTTTCTGTTAATGAATTTAGCAGAGTTGGGAGAGTTAACTCTCCGAAAAAAATACAAAAACAAAGAACAAAATAAAAGTGTGTGCAAAAATTTTTGCTTAGAAAAAATTAAGCGACAAATGGATTGCTACAAGTAAAAAATAAAAATTTAAACGTGTGCTTGAATTTAATTGCAAAACAAGAAGTCAAAATAAAGAAAAAGTAATCAACACTGAGTACTAACCTAGTAAATGATAAACAACCAGTATACACAAAAGCAAAGATTTGCTAAACAAATGGCGCATGTATACAAACGCATCAAATTGAAAAATTACCGGATGTGTATTTTATTAGCAAGGATACTATAAAAATTAGCAGGAAAAAATGTAAATGATTTACACGTTTATGTACACATGAATTTGAAAAAATTCGCCTAAAGCATTGCAAATGCAATCATGCGCATTATGAAGCTATTCACAAGTATTGTTATTTAATTTTTCGTTTTTAGTTTTTTTAATTTCAAATTTAACAAAATATAAAATTTCTTTTATACGTTTCACTTAAGTTTTGTTTTTAGTGTATATTAAATTATTGTTATTTAATTTGCAATGCAATTTTCCAAAAAGCAAACTTGCTAATATTACCTTATAACTTTTGATGCTAGCAAAAAATTTGCTGTAAACTAAAAATACATTTTAATGAAAAAAATTAATACATCTGGCAACTAAGTTGCTTTGACGTCGGGATTAGTATTTAAAATTTAAAATCTCAAATGCTAGACGAGTAAATTTCAAACTAATCAATAGTGGTTGCTAAAAGTGCATTTCGATTAAAAAAATATGTGTATTGAAACTACTAAAATTTAAACTCGCATTCATACATCGAGCAGTTTATAAAGGGTGCGAGAGTAAGTTGTAAATTTTTTAAAATTTTCAACTAATATTTCACATATTACTAGTCATTTAATATTCGTTCCAAACAAAATAAATCGTTTTAATATATCTTAACCTCACTTTCAGCTAAAAGCTAGCGAATTCGCAAAGAAAGTTATAAGAATCTTGAAAAAGTTTTAATTTACATATTACGAAATATGCCATAAGAAGTATGAAATACTCATTTACTAATTCGACATCTTCGTCATCTGCAGTCCCATTTGCTTTCCCATGCTTCATATTCAAAAATAATAATAACTGAAAATGGTTGAAAATAAAAAAAATCACCCAAAAGAAATTTTCATAATTAAAGATTGACCCGTTGGCAATCTTGCCCAAAAAAAACAAATTAAATGTTTATAAATAATTTTTTAAATTTATAAAAAAGCGCCCTCGCACTAATTGTAAATTGAACACTTGCAGACAATGTGTAAAAAGAAATTATATGTTTAGTTATAATTAAATAACCAATTTAGAGTTTATAGTTGGAGTTCTAAAAATTTGCTTTAGTCGTATACGGAGCTTTAAACTTGTAAGTTTTTGTACCTTCACTTAGAGAAAACTATAGTTTTTGAAGTTAGTGGTTGGGCCTTCATTTTAATAGTCGCAGGTTGACTTTTTGCCTTTTTTTAATATTTCTAATGTTGCGAAGTTCGTTATGTTGGCCCTTGCCCTCCTAAAATAAATCAAATTACTTAGCATATCGAAATTCGTCATCCAAATATTTCTTTGGAACAGTTCGATTGGTTTTTTTTTTTTTCGAGAAAACAACACAATTTTTTCGAGAAAAACTAGATTCCCCAAATTTTTCAGTTCGAAAAATTTTACTTACAAAATTTTCAGCTCGAGAAATTTTGTATCGAAAGTTCGAAATCTATTCAAAAAAAATGTCATATCGAAACATTTTACTCCGAAAAATTTACAACAAATATTTGTATTTCAAAACTCTCTAACACAGCCAAAAATTTCGAAAAAATCAAAATTTTTATTTCAGAAACAATAATTTTTTTAAAGCGCGTGTTTTGAATTTTCATAATCCTTCCCCAACTTTATGTTAGCTCGAGCAATTTTAACTTTTGGAAGTACAAATACATAGAAGTTGGAAAAGTTCTAAATGTATACATATTTTCACATTTTGAAATTTTTCGAGACTTCTAAAGCATTATGGTAGAAATTCCAAGTATTTACACTTCTTGAGGTCCATATTAAAATTTCGAAAGAGTCAAGATGTCAACTCATTTTCGTTCTTAAAATGCTCCGTTTATATTAGGTAATAAACGAGTTTTGACTTTTCGAAGTCTCAACCAAAATTTCGAAAAAAACGAAAAAACGCATATTCAACAAGTTTTCAACTTCCGAAGTATAAACGAGAATTTTAAGCAAACGAAATTATAAATCTTGTTCTGTATGAAAAAGATTGTAAAAAATGCCCCATGAGATCGAAGGTTCTTCTTTAACCATTAATTTTCCAGTCGTCTTCTTTAAATAAACGATTCCAGGCGACAAGTATAGTCAAAAGATTTAGAATATCGATCTACTTTTTTATTTATGTATGCAAATTTCTTTGTTGTATTCAAATGACAACCGAAGCGCTCT